TCCCCGTGTACCGACGCGGCGCAGTAAAATTGAGCGAGCATCAGGTCGACTGTGGTGGAGTGTCGTAGAGAGTGCAGCACTTACAAAGAGCGGAGGAGCGTCCTGGCCGGCAAAACTGGCAAACTCGGATCAAGCAGTGCCCCCCACCAACGGACGCAAGTGGGCCAGAGTTTCTGCATCTAGCGGCACGGGGCCTTGCCCCCACTTGGCAGGAACGGCACGAGACCCCGCCCGGCAAGTCTTCAAGGCCCAAATAGAAGAAGAAAGACGAACGTAAGCGTAAGCGTGGACTGCATTACGCAGCCGGTCGGCCAGCGATTGACCCTGAACTTCAAGTCGTGCTTGCTAACAGCAGCAGCAGCAGCAACAACGCAGAGGCACCAGCAACCACTTCCTTATTCAGTGATTTTCTTAGTAACTGCTCGACCAGACATTACGTATGCCGCATGCCCGATTAATGCACGCGCTCACCCGTCGTACCATAAATCGTGTTCCTTTTTTTTTTTAATTTTTTGCTCCTGTGACTCTTCGTTTCTCTCTTCCTTTCTTCGTTGCTATTAATGTATGCTCGTCTAGCTAGCAAATTCGTAGGAAGATTGAATTTAAGTTGAGCACCATGGGCGAAATATTCGAATGAAATATGACAGTGTGTCGCTACTGTACACTCGGGATGTCGAAAGAGACGAAGAAAGCAGCCGTCGTGATTTCTGATGGCTCAGATCCACGGAATTTACGCCCTCTTCGTTACTCTTACCTAAGGTCTTCCATTTCCAATTCGATTGGATCAACTCATCGAAGGTCACCTCGATGAGTATCCGTTTGACAAGCTCTTGTATAATGCTGACATGCGCCACGGCTAACGAATTTGCATTTAAATTCGATTTTCATTTCATACCTAATCACGAAACTTATCTCGTACCTCTGCATGGGAATTCTCCGAGATACTCGATGCAATAATAGTAACGAAAACAACAATAGTAGTAACACCGATAACAATGATAGTAATAATAACAACGTCGTTATCACACGTTTTATACAGGCGCAAAGACGAGGTTCGGCTAAAGCTGCTGTTACTCCTAACCTACAAATATCGACTCAAGTTCAAATTAGATTTTTTCTAGATCGAGCACTGTCTTTAGGAATGAAAAGAACGTGGTTGGTGAGCGTCGAGCGTGAAACTCATTGTGCTTGAGACACGTTTGACATTGTGGAACACGTCGATGTTTACGGCATTGGTTTCATAATATTAATTATACGTGTGCTCATTGAGAGCATAACCTCAAATGAACTTTCTCTCGCGGCACTCCCCTTGAGAAGTGAACAAACGATCGATGAAATGTCAAATTTATTCAAATGTCGAGTAAAGTCAGAACCATGCATTCCTCTCGTTGTGTCATCGATTATCGATCCTTTGTACTCTGCGCAGTTTTTCAACGGCCATATTGTCCTCCCCCCCGGAACAATTGTTTTACAAACACACCTAACAGTACGAAAAGATTCATATATAAAAAGCTAAAAATGTCGTCTAACAGAAGGTAATTTGCAGCGATCATTTTCACCCAGAATATGCCAATTTTCATTTTTCCGTTCGGGTGCATTTCTAATCTCGTCAGTTTCCATTACCACAGAGAGAAGATCGGATTATACGATCGGTACCGGGGCAATTAGTCGAATGCAAATTTTACGCTGGTTTTCCTGGAAGATTTACATTTTTTGTTAATACCAATGTCAAGCAGCGATACGAGGAATTTTAGAATGTCGACGAGGTTGCTGGCTTACCTTTGAAACGTAACGCCGAAGAACGGCACGCGTGGATTTCTTCGAAATAAATAGTATTACAGTGCACGCGTAATATGTTGCGATGCTTCGAATAAACGTGCAATTTATTTCCCAGCAAGTATGCTGCCGCGTTATTTTCTAATTGCGAATTAAATTGCTGTGCAGTTATACCGAGTCACGGTAACATTTCATTGCGAAGCGGCTGGGTGTTTGCCGGTGCTCCTTTAATAAGAAGTTTCTCGAAGAGTTACGAAGATCAGCAGGATTTCCCCCCATCGCGTTCAGATCATTAATTAGCGGAATAGCAACCGCTTAATTATGCCGTTGCGTCCGAGATGCAATTCTATTATGTTTACCGATGCACGGTAGCTTTGGCGAACTTATTATTTTCTCATCTCGGACAGGTGAAACGTTATCCTTGAATTTTTCCAAACGAATTCGAAGTTAACGCGGTAAAATTGCCTCGGGCTCGTTCGTTTTTAACAAATCGCACAGTCCGCCGCGTATTAGTACTAACAACGCTAAATGGAAATGGTTTCCTTTGGAATGTCCGGGGGAAACCGAGTTCGACCGAGTGTAAACAGCATCGCGACTTAATTACGCGAATAAGCTATCATTAGACGCGATTCGAGTTCTTAGCAGAAAGCTGAGCGAATGTCAGAGAAACGTGAGAGGTATAATCTTAAGACACGTCACCGCCTTCCGCCGTTTCTAGCAGAGGCGAGCCACGGGAAGATAAAATTAGTGTAACGAAGCTGTCTTTCCATGGCACGAAAAAACGAGACCGCATTATTGGGTTAAGGACGTCACGCGTGTTTCGTTAATTTCGCCGTTGCGAAAGAATTTCCACGGGAACGGTGTCTAGTTGCATCAGTTTTCGTTATCGCCGTCCGTTGCGGTATAACGAAATAGCCGCTTCCAGAAACGTAATTTTCTTTTTCACCTACGATACAACTTTTCCTTTTTTTTTTTTTACAACGTGTCGCAACATCGACAAATTTGTCCACTTTAGCGAAAATAATTCGACGTATCCATTCCGGAATCTGTCTCACGTGTAACAATTGAACTGATTTGCAGACGATGTATACTGACGGTCTCCTGACACTCCACTATGGGAAGCATCCAGCGACCTTGGCCGCAGAGGTCGGAGCCTGGTATACCGGGGACCGTCACGTGGACGTGACGTTAGCTTGCGACGATGGGTCCGTCGTGAAGGCCCACCGCGTAGTTCTGGCAGCAGCTAGTCCCCTTTTGGCTAGTCTCCTTCGCAACCCTGCGTTGGACCATGTGGTCCACTTGTCCGGAGTCCGAAAAACTCAGCTGACTCATCTGCTGGAATTTCTCTACAACGGAGAAGCTCTTATTCCGGTAAGTGATTCGTTAACGACGATAATAGTAGTACTAGGAACGTCTGACGGAGAATCGGTGTAATGTTTTTCCTACAGTCAACGGAACTCACGCCACTGAGGGAACTGTTTGAGCTTCTCCAGATCAAGTCGGAATTGTTCGAGCCTAATCAACCTCAGATCTCCAGTAACTCCGACCCTGAAAGGATAGCCACCCCCCAGCCCTCCGAGGGCCAGGAAAGTTCTAGCTATGAATCACAGTACGACGGCAGGTTTGTAGAAATTGACTGGTGTTAACTGTTCGTGAAATGTCAATACGGTCATTTCTGAGATAGGGAACTGTTTAAATTAATCTCTGCTCTAGCCTGGCTCTTCGCTTCGGCAGAGAGCGTACGGAGCTGATGCTGAGATATTGATTCGTATAATGTCGCTTCTTCGCGTCTCTCTTTATCCAGTATCGACATTTGTGCTCGAGATTACAGATAACTCCGCGGGATATCGCGTTGTACCGGGATAATTAGAAAATTATAGCCAGTTCGGTAGAGAAGATATGTGATTGTATGTATATTTCCTGACATTTCAGGCAGTCGAACAATCCCGCAGACTGTTGTTCGGTGCTCATAAAGACCGAGGGCTGCGAAGAGGAACCAGAAGTGGATGTTGAAGGCGTCGAGGGCGAAACGCTTCTCACGGAGAACAGGGAAAGCAGTATAGAACCACCTCGACGGAGGGATAGTTCCGACCCTGTAAACTTAAGCTTAAATTCTGGAACTTCCACCACTAGCGAAAGTTCTCATGATATCGTACCTAGGTAGGATGGAACATTTGGACATGCTGGCTGATTTCAAAGACGGATCGAATAATTTTGGGTGTACATGAAAAAAAAACCACGCAAATTGACTCCCAGTGTTTTTGATCGCAGAGGTCCGATTGGACAGTCACCACGGTCTCCAGATCTTTTTATGCGGACACGTGAAAAGTTTCATTCGTTATCTGTATCCCTCTAAATTATTCGATCCTCGTTCTTTAAATCACTCGGTATCGTTAAACGCGTTATCACATCTGGAGTTGTTCATCATTTCTTCCACGAATGACACACGTTTCTCGTTCACTCAGGCCAGAAAAACAGTTACTGGAGAGGCGGGAATCTCTAGAGGAGGTGGAAGATAGAAGAAGACAATTAGCAGCTCGACTCGCGCTAGGCTTAGAACCGGGAAAACGAAAACCTGAGGAAATACCTTTCCCACCTGCGGAGGCTTACATTGTAACGCCTCATAGGAAACGAAGGCCAGGCTTTCACAATGCACCCGCTCAGAATCCAGCCTTCGTACCGTTTAATCCTGGATTCGAGACGCCGAGGCGGTTACAAGCACCGCATCCTCTCAGCGTCTCGGCACCTCCGTACCTGGTACATAACTACTTTATTTCGTATTTGTCACGTGCACCGCGTATCTATCAATTTTACTTTCGTCTCGTAACTCTATGTAAAGAAACAATCGCGCAGTTATAATTGGATGAAAATTTTTGTAATTAATTACGAACGTGATGTCTTTTCCAATCAGAGGCATTTCCTGGTTGGGTAATTCCCACTTTGTTCATGTTCATAGTGGATACGATTGTACCTTAATGTTATTCTAGATACAAATTTATAGGGTGAAATTAAATGGTTACAGATACTCCACATCTCTGCGTTATTTTATTTATTTATGTTCATTGACGCGCTTTGAAAAGTGCAACTGCGTCTTTCTTTTTCTCAAATAGAACCTTATTCTCTTGGGTGCCGATATTCGATGCAGTTTTTAATCCTCTGTAAAAAGCATCCAAGTACTAAACATACTTTGCTATTGTATTTCCTCTTGCTTTAATTAGTACGTGTGAAACAGAAATATGCCACATCTAAAACCATTTAATTTGACTTTAAATGCTATTAAATAGTGAGTTTTCAAAAGTTCTAATTCAACATTCAGTTCTAATAAAAGTAGCAACATTTGCTGCGAATATAATTTAATCATGAAACGATCTTTTGATTTTCTTGTACGTAAGTAGAACGCGTATATTTGTAATTTTCTTGCGCATAACACATATTAAGTGAAAGAAAGTGAGAACCATAGTGTTTGTAAAATAAACATCGAAGTTGACGTGTCAATTTTAATTCAACACATTGCCAACGGCAAAACTTGCACTTGCCCAGGCATTTGAGAAAAAGAAATGCCTGAAATCGTTTCTAAGAAATTACACGTCAGGACCGTTAGAAATTTTACAGCAGATATGAAATATTCTTTAATACGAATGATTTCCTTGAACGGTTATCAATGCGTTAATAATTCAATACAATAATATCTATTGTCAGTACAGTGTTATCACGTACGCTAATGTTGAGAACCCTGAAATATTGGCAATGTATATTGATCGCCTGAGCGCGCCTCGACACGAGAAAAATCAAAATGATCGACAGCAGCGAGATAAATTTCTCAGCGAAAATATTCCAAATTTGGCCACAAAGAATGGCAAGTGAGACGTACGTTTTGGCTTTTACAGCAGGACAGGTCAGTGACACCTCCAGGAGCGTCACACAGACCGCCAAGCGCAGATCCAGCATCGGCGGCGGGTTTGGAACCACCTTGGGGCTCTTGGGCCCTGCCACCTGCAAGGGCGCCTCCACCTCCACCAACGGATGACCCACCAAAGTCTACTCCAGTTCGCGAATATCGGTGTAGCTATTGTGGCAAACAGTTCGGAATGTCTTGGAACTTAAAGACACACTTGAGAGTACATACGGGTGAAAAACCATTCGCGTGTAGACTCTGCGTCGCCATGTTCAAGCAAAAAGCCCATCTTCTCAAGCATCTCTGCTCCGTTCACAGAGGCGTTATAGCTGCCCCGGACAACACGTTTACCTGTTGCTTCTGTTCGTTAAGTTTCGACAGCTTACAAGAGTTGATTAGGCATCTGTCGGGGCCGCACAATAATTTGCTGCTTAGTAAGAATCTGCACGACTAGCGACAAGGTTAAGCGAGTAGAGCCGATCGAAGAAAGGTGGTTCGATCGTGTTCAGACCAGAAAGTACATGTGTATTCAAAATTTTTAACCGCAATGCAAGCCATTCTCAGTATTCTAACCGTAGATTCAGCATTTTCCCCTTTTTTCTTTTACGTACCCAGCTCTTTTGTCGCTTCTCGTAGAGCATTCCTGGTCAGAATATTGATTTCGAGGTCACCGAACGAACGATCGTTCAACAAGTTACTGTTTTAAATATCTTTCTCAAAAAAAGTATTTCAACGTGTTTTCACTTTGAAAATTCTCAACGACACGTTCAGAAACGTGAAAATACTTCCAGCGCGAAAGAAAAACCCGCGACGGATAAGTTTTACCTTTAAAGGCATTAACGGAATCGAAGCACGCCAATTTGTACAGTTTCTAACGAAGTTTTATAGTCAGTGGAAAGTAAAAACTATTCGCGAACTATTTTTTTTCTTTTTTTTTTCGAGAGAGAGAGAGAGAGAGAGAAGGAATAGCACAAAGCACCGGAAGAGCCTTCCACAAAAGCCTCACGTCATTCTCGCGAGTGTCTAGTTCGAAAATGTCCGAAGACTACGCAATAATCCACTACCTTTTTATTATAATAAGCGATGACCAGTAACTCTGACCAAATAAGGTATTTCCAACAATCGACGTTGGTCGGAAGTGTGTCGGATATGCTGACCGTCTCTATATCGGGAAACGTTAAAGATAGTCGAAACGAGGATAAATAACGAAGAGACGAGAGTCAATTATCGTTGTCACGCGCCGAATCTCGAGTAGTTCGCTAAATGTTGAGTTGAACGGTTACGCGCACCTTCCTGTTGCGTCTTACTTACTTCAAAAGTTTGTCAATGCTTTCGTTCGCGTCGTCACGTGACATCCATCCAAGACGTCTCGTTTACCTCAGAGCGCGCGCAAACAATCTCATTGTGTAAATAACGTAAACGTTAGTAGTAGGAACAAGCGGACGGATAAGAATTTATTTATTTTACACTTTGCAAAGGGACCAACCGATTTTCCACCGATTTCTGTCTTAGGTAGATTTTAGGTACCCTGCCCGTCAATCGCCGCCTTGAACAAATTTGCTCGCAGAGAGCTGTGAACTGTTTCGAAAATTAGCGTTAGGAAGGAGTCGATTAGAAGGCCGCGGAAGTAGAACAAAAGACATTGGCGTTACAATCCCTTTTACCCTGCACGAAGAGGAACATTATCGGCGAGACCACAGTTTTCTGGAAGAAGCGACAATAATATATTTCCAAACGGCTCAAAACTATTTTTCGCCGGCAAATAGAATAAACGTTGCTAATGTTCTTCCGCCTTACAATCCTTGTCTTCCACTTCGGCATCAGTCCTTCTTCACCCTTTCCTCTCTTACCACGCATCGCTTTGTTTTCTTTTGTTTTTTTTTTTTCTTTCTTTTTTCTCCTTCGAAACGTCTTTGGTATCTCAGCGACTCGAGTGCCTTGTCAAATGGGTCCAAATTGGTCGATTGGGCAGTGATTTCATGTGTTCATAGGCTTAAGATACCGTATACGTGTAAGTTGACGATACAAGCTCGCTTAGGAATTGAGACAAAGTGTTAATTAATTCACGTAGAAGGTTTTAATATCACTCAAATTAATCCAAGTTTCGTTAAGATCTAAATAGAACGTTTTAAGTAGTAGCTTTTGTTTCTCTAATTTCTCTTTCGTTGACGCAGGACGTCATGTTTTTTTTTTTTTTTTTTTTTTTTTTTTTTTAAAAGGTTTTTA